CTTTCCATTTCAAAGAGCCTGTTGCTTTGTGACTTTCATCCCCTCACGCAGCGCCCAAGCGGTTATCTGTGCTGTCAGCAGCTCATCAGCGAGGCTTACAGACTTATTCAAGTGGATAGCAACACCCAGGCTCTGCTCTTCCCTCTCTTGCAGTGTTCCCTCTTAATGGATGGCTTGTGCCTGGTGCTAGCAGCGCAGCGAGACAACGCGGTCCTTTGCTTCGACTCCCTGCTGGACAGGTGAGTGAGGACAGTAGTGCTTCAACAGCACCATCTCAGCCCCCTGCTAGAGAGCTTGTGGTCTGACTTTCTTCTCTGTAATTCACTTCCCGTTCAGACTCTGATGAGGTTAGGTGCCGTTCAAAGGCAACTCCTTCTTCCTAAGTTCATGGGTCAATACCTCAGGGTGTTCCCCAGTTTCAGAGTCCTATATCCGATACTCAGCACCTTAAACACTGAGTTGTGTTGTTTGTTAAGGACTTGGAGTGTCTGCGAGGCTCGGCAGCATGATTCCACAAGGACAGGGAATTTTCTGAAACAAGGGCTCACGTTGGGAGTAGACCTGCCGAATCAATAAAATTCCTAGGAGAAATATCTTAGCAGATTCTGTGTTTGCTATGAAAAAAAATACTTAAACGCCAGAGAGCAAAATCAAAAATCGGCCTCTTAAATAAATCACCAGAAATGCTGGGTAGAGTGTTTATAAGTCTGTAAAACAAACAGGAACCTCTCTACAGGGACTGATTAGTGAAATAGAATGATTATCAGGCCAGTTAACCCACTGTCCCCCAGAGGGAAGGTTTCCTTGCACAGGGGCTGGTATTTGGCAATGAGATGTGTAGTTCATGCACGAGGTTTCCTCTGGGAAAGGAAGCCAAGAGAGTCTCTTTTCTGACACGTTCGGTGTAGAGCAGTTCGGCAGCCACACCGATAAGGCTGTCGTGACTTTGGCTGTACCATCTGGAGGGCTTCCAGATAACGCTGTCAATGGGACAGGAATAAGGAATTCAAGGATGCTGGAGTTTGCAAGCATCAAGGGGATCAAATCTGAACAGTCGAGTCAGTAAACACGTTGGAGTTCTCATGCTTTGATGAAATGTTACGGTGCTCAGTCACAAGGCCACAGCTGGGAAGAACAGTTGGAAGGAATTTCATCAGTAACTTTTCAGAAGTGTTTTTAGGCTAATGACAACATTTAGACATCGCTCCCATTCATTTAAAATCACACCCTTGGGGCCCACCTCCCAAACCTTTCACCCAGCGAGATACAGTGCTAAGGGGAAGCAAAGGGCAAGTTCCC